AGACGCCGTTTTTAAACATACTTTAGCTATTTCGGGGGCTGTTTTGCAGTGAAACACTTGTGTTTGACGAGGAAAAAGAATCTTCCAATAGAAGAAGGTTTTGGAATCATAATCAACAAAATAATCATAATTCAGCTTTGGAGGAAATCACTCAGAGTGGGATAATTTTTCGAAAGACAAAAATACGGTGTTAGGTCAAATTTCGTCTCATCGAACTCGGAAGAGTTGTTCTTTATTGTTCACGAACGGACTACACCATAGAAATCTGTTGGCATATTTGCAAGCCGCAAGAACACCATGTCTATCTGTGATCACATATTTTGGGTTTTGAACCAAACCGACAATAAAATGTGTTAAAGAACATAGTTCCCTACAATTTCTCTTCCGCAGGGGATAGGGTTATTCAACACCATTTATCTGCGTCAAACTTAAATTGCTGAACAAAACGTCAGTGATTTTTTAAATTAAAACCGCCAGTCCGTGTACCCTTGGATTGTCAAGTAATCCCTTAAAAACTCTTCGCGGCATCTATTTAACAAAAGCATCACTTTGATTGCATGTGTTTTTATTTTCTATGTTCTTTCGTAGTTTTCAGCATTGCTTTAACATATTTAATCTCCTTCTGCCAAAAAGGCTTTCATGCCTACGCCTGCCTGACGGATCAGTAATTGACGCACTAGACTGCTTTATTGCACTTCAAGGTGGCTGTTTTTGTGGAATGAGTCACGTTTTAGAGGAGATCAATAAACTCCGATGCAGAGCACCAGTATCGTAAACACCGCTCTCCTGATTCTCTATGGTTCCTAGGCTAGATTAAACTATTGTCTAATACATGAACACAAATTGCCCCAATGACCTCTGAAATAACAATATCCCAAGGGGATGAATGATTTGCATACACTTAACGCTCAGGTCAGCTGTATGGCGCTTCAAGTTGGCTGTCGTATTTACAACCTACGCTGAAGCTTACATTTATCGATATCTTGGCAGATTTTGAATAATTCCTATTGACCCAACTGTGAAAAACTGAGCGCCTCGGCGGGATTTGAACCCACGCAGTAAGGCGAAGGCTTTAGTACAGTCAGTGCTCTAACCACCCGAGCTAAGAGGCCCCGCCGGACGACTCGAGTTTAATCACATTTGGGTCAAGTTACCCGCCCAACCTACTGCAACGTCTGAATTCCACCAAATCTGATACAGTAAGTTGACTGCCCAAGCAGGATTTCCTAAGTAATTCACCTAGAATCCACCAGATGTCTACCAGGCTGACGTAATTCATAGATGCTTTGACAGATTTTAAATAATTCCCATTGAACCAACTGTGAAAAACTCGGAGCCTCGGGCTGATTAAACTCGTGTCGTCCGGCGGGGCCTCGTAGCTCAGGTGGTTAGAGCGTTGGCTGTACTAAAGCCTTCCCCATACTGCGTGGATTCGAATCCCACCTAGGCGCCGAGTTTTTCACAGTTGTATCAATAGGAATTAAGCTTATATATCGGAATCGTCCTTGTGAATGTCCAGTCAGTGTTCGGGAATACATCCTACCTTGTTATTAAATTTGAACCGCAGTGTAATGAATGCGTTCTAGGGAACTAATTGTAAACACACCAGTTAGATCGTTTATGCCTTCAGGAGGAGAAGCCATAAGTCCGCTAAGACAACACACCTGTGAACTGCCTTTATATTGGTACAGAGTAGCCGAAACGTCGTATAACATTTAACAGACGTAACTACATGAATATCGATTTGGAGAACTTTGTGTGCCACAGCCAAATCAGTCCTCAAATAAGCCAAGCAGCCTGATGGAAATAGGTATCTCACTAAGCACAGTTATTTGGTTACTCTGAGGGAAAAAGGGTCTCCTAGGAAGTCGGATTTAAAGTATTCATTATAGTGTTTCCATTCCAAAGTAGCTCACCCTTGTTTTCATAAATTACCGAAAAAATTTGAAAAGTCGACAATTAACTTAAGGATTGGAAGATGTCGTTCAGTGTGGTGGACAACTATTTTCCAACACAATTGAGCGCTTGCCAATCTGCGCAGCCGTCGAACCTTGATATAATATCGTGGGTGTATTAGCAGTCAGACTTTAGTAACCAATATTTGAAGCACGATATTTTATGAAGATTTTTTAGGCTGATTGGGTGTGGGACCTTAGGTAAATCAGCTCATGTAAAACAGGGGTATGAGTAGATATCATACCCTTTTTATGTGATCGTAAAGTGAAATGCCCGGCCATAAAAATCAAGTTAAGATTAAATGAACATATAATGAAAGCAAATTTTCCTTAAGAAAGCTCAAATCTCTCTTTTTAACGCAAGGTAAGTTAAATTGGACTTCATTGAGGCAAACCAAATAATCTTCAAAAGGACTGCTGCTCTTAAACTTAATTCCTACGATCAGGTTTCGAAGGACTCCTGTACCGATAAGTTTTTCGTTCCGCCATTGAGCCGACATTGGCACTATCCTCAAAAGTGAAGTGTTCTCAGAATTACAGTAGTCAGATATGCCAGATTTCTGTGTTAAATAAGAAACTGAGTTCTATATCCAAGCTGGTGGTTCCAGACAATTAATAGTCCTTTTCATTAAAGGGCATTTCACAACCGCGCGAAATAACCAAGATTACCAGTTACCAACAATCCTCATTCGGGATGAGCCAGGTCTCCGATTTGTAGAGAAGGTTTATTGGATAAGACTCCAGAAATTTTCAAACTTGCACATGCTGTTTTTCTGTGGCAACTGTTGAAAATCAATTCAGATCTTTTTGCTGTTTCGTAACGGTAAAAGGCAACGAAGAGTGTTATAGAATCCTCTCTCTTCGTTTTGCAGGGAAGATATTGAGGAGGTTGTTATTCATTTCGAAATACCAACTGTCTACAATGCAAGAGATCGAGTCAAGCTGAGGCAATCAAATCTAATTATAAAAAATGTTGTTTCTCAAAGTCGCTAGATGATTTACACGAGCATGGTTCAGACATTTAAATCTGAGTTGTTTTCACTTTAGACTGTTTGAAAGACGTCTGAAAGCGGGTGATGACTTGAAAAAGTGATTTGTGGACGACTGCATGTTTTCTATTAAGCAGATTGTTTCAGGTACATCGGAGCGTTTAACAGACTTCCATCTGCGCTGGGTGTGTAGTGTTGAATTGATAATCTCGCAAAAAGCCAATTATTTTTTGACGGATATAAAAATCTTTTAAGTCGGATATTACGTTTTTAAACGACTTAGGCCTATTTTGCAAGTTATTTGCGTGCTTATGTCTTTAATGTAGTTAGATGTCAGACCTGGCTGTTGTTCTGGAATGAATCACGCTTCAGAGGAGATTGAGAGACTCTGAAGTAGAACACTAATAACATAACCGCCGTCAATCTGCTTCTCTACAGTTCTTAAGCTTGATTAAACTGTCGTCTAAAACATGAACACAAATTGCCTTAATGACCTTTGCTTACTGCAATATGACCTTAAGTTATCTACAAATTAAAAGAATTCCTCATTGTTCAAAGGGCTGACTAACAATTTGCTAGGCCAATGATTATATTTAGTAAATAAACTCAACTGCAAGAATAATCAACTTTTGTTCAGGATAAAAACGATTTAAGTCATATAAAAATCTTTGCTTTTTAGAGCTGTTTCCCCATTTTCCACGATTTTGCTTTTTTCCCTCGCTATGTTGGAGTTTTTATTCCAGATTTTTAGTAGGGATAAGAGACAAACTCCGGAGGAAGCACGTGCGTTTTTCCAAATCTTAACAGCTATCCGTATAAAAACACCAGTTTCTAACCAAGCCCTTCTCTTCCCGGTAGTCTTACGCAAGATGCTGCTTTCTTCAGCTAACATAAAATAAAAAACGATGTCGGTTTCCTCTTAACGGTATTTTGATCCGGCGTGCACTGAAGCTATTAGAAAGCGACTGCTACTGAGATGCTGCAGATGCGCCTGTCCTCAAGGAGAATTGACTACCTGGACACACTTTAAATTCCTTTACAAACAGAGGGAATAACAAATAGCTTACTAATCTGAATCAAGGAAGACACATGAGTATGGGTAGGTTGTGTAATCTCACAGGGTTTAGTATGTGTAACTTAGGCCTAAATTTGTCTCAGCATAGGAGTGGGCTTAAGATTCATTTTTGTTGTCGATTACCTACGTCGCGACTTATTTACTTTTTCGAAAAGAAGAGCCTAACCACTTTGTGCCATGCCAATAACACCATCCAACGCGTGCTGTAAGGGTCGTCGGCTGCGTTTTGGTTTACTTTTTCTCGGTTAGAACACAAACACTCGGCTTTCTCGAATCACTAAACGATTTTTGTTGCCGAACGGACAGGTCGCGACGGAGTTACTTCTAGAATATCTGTGCGCAGTCCCTGGCAAAACCACTAATAAAACCATAAGAGGCATTTGAGCTTATGCAAAAAATTTGCTTAAAATGGTCGTTAAATTGCTTTTGGGGAGACATCCTTCAGGTTGCTCGTTCGGGAGGCTCTTGCATCGGATAAACTTTCGCAATATGTGACAGGAATATATTCAACGCTAGCTTTAGACCAACGGTATCAAGGCCCAACCACAGTCGATACTGAACTTTGCCTACGTGTTCCGATGTTTCACGACCCTACACTGGCTCTCCTTCGAAAAACTACTATTTCGGTCCGTTCCAATAGGCTTCACACGAATTGATATGCTTTCCCGTGGTCGGATCCCTAAAATGATTGATATGGTTGACTTTACAGTTCTTAAAGCCGATGCATTTGGCGTCAAAGTTGACATGTTGCCGCAATAGGTAACAGTCCCCTTATTCGGCAGTATTCCACCACCCTCTCCGAGTTTATAGCTTTGGCTATTACGTCCGATTTCTCCAAAAATCAAGCTGCAGTTGTTCGATTTCGACCTAGAGCCCATGGTCTGTATTTTGGAACGGAAAAGAGCATTATTCATTAATTTGTTTATTAATGCATTTCCACGCTGTACATGACTTTTACGTATATATTTTTCATTTCTTTAAATGACACCCATGATTTGCAACACCTCAACTAACAAGCCGCTGTCTCCCCTCCAAATTTGTCCCATCGCCACGCCTACAACTACCATTGGCCACATATACGAGCCCCCACTACCATCTTCCTCCTCCTCCTCCTCCTCCTCCTCCTCCTCCTCCTCCTTCATTACTTCAAGCTCCGCTACGGCGATTCCTGCACCCATCACCACTACAGACAATTCTGTTAAACTAACAAACACCAACCCCCCCCCCATCAACAACGCCGGCGATGTGGACTCGATCCATACCTGTCCTCATTGCGACCGCACCTTCACCTCACACATCGGTCTGGTCGGTCACTTGCAAATCATTCTACAGGCACTCGCGGACACTGCCCTCGCACACTCACCGCATGGGCCTATTTGGTCATAGGCGCATCCACGAGAGTCGAATGATCGCAGTCCCGACACTCCCCACACCTCCTGCTCATCCATCATGATTAGCTCGACCCACACCCCGTTGCCCAGTGCGACCGCCATAAGTAGCTCCCCTACTACCACCATCTCCGAAACCGGCAATGGCACCGCCGACTTTTCCTGTCCACACTATCCCCGTTCATTCATCTCACACATCGGCCTGGTCGGTCACTCGCGAACCCATCACACAGCGACTGGTGAACCAATGCCTGGAGCACGAAAATACACCCGACACATTTGCCTCAGTTGCCCTCACTGCATCTTCATATTTACTTACCGCATGGGTCTATTAGACTACATGCGCATCCACCAAATCCAGCACTAGACATCTTCCCCCATCTACGTCACACAAAATTATCGCCTGTGACAAGCGTCCAACTGCCACATCCCACGCAATTGGGAAATGTGCGTCTCGATTCCGTCACCATGCGACTCTCTGCTGCACGTGCGATTCGAGTCTGAAGTTGTCCCATTGTGTCATCGCCGTGGCTTGGAAAGCAGCCGACTGAGGCCCCAACTCAGTTCACGCAGCCTGCCTAGTTGTGTATGCATGTGTGCGTGGAGTGGCGGACTGGTTGGCCGAGAGTCAGGCTGAAAAAGCTTCTTCCGAACGTGACCTACGCATGTGGGATGTACGCCGCACGCGCCCCGTTTTATTAAATCCTGGCACTTGTGTTTGGGGGGCCAGGTTATGCGTGTGGCGCGTACAGACAAGGTCACTAGATATGTCAGCCACTGCGCCCATTCCCCGCACCTGTTAACTGACTGGCTTGGACAGTGGCTGGAGCCGGGGCTGAGAGTGAGGTCGACAGCTCAGCGTATTTAACTTACTATAAACAATCTGGCGTGCTTGAAAACTGATGGGATAACTTGGACCTCGCAGTCGACCCAGTGTTGTGTTTTTGTGTAAAAGGCCGGCGAGTTATCCATAAGTCCGGCTTCAATGCGTCCTTTTTAATGCGGCCTTTTTAGTACCCGACTCCGCGCACGTGTGACGGCACGCCTAGATGCAGCTCCGGTCGTGCCAGCGTCCTTTCAGTTGTTGGTTAAAATCCTGGTCATTTGGTGTGCGGACTAGGGGGTTTTGGAGTGGGAGGCTAAGGCGCGGGCTGGACCGTGCCATCCATCTGCGCCCTCCCCCGTCTCCGGTCTTCCTGACTGTGTCTTTCCACTGGATCAAGGTAGGAAGGAAGGGAGAGAGCGGAAGATGCTACGCAAGTCTATATTTACTATTAACCGAACCACGCGCAAGCTACCGTGTCCGCTTTACCTTGCCGTGGAGCACGGGGTAGATATCATTGGCAGCAATGGTCAAACTATCGGATTTTGTTCTTATTTTCTGAGTGCATATTCATAACTCCTTGAACGTTAATGTGCGTCACAGCTGCAGTATTTGTCAATTGTTGTTGTCTTTTCATATTAATCGTTCGTTATTTTGGTTCCGACCTGCTTCAAACTTGCAGGTGGCAGTTTATTTAAATGCTTTTTTATTTGTAATTGGTTTTGGTAATTTTTAACTAACGTGCTTAATTCCATTGCTATATATAGCACAGGAGAGAAATCTAAACGAACATTTATTTGTTTTCCATGTTTTGCTGCATTCATTTTGTTCACCTTTCGCGGTGACGCCCCACCCGTAAAACCCCTGTTATCACTGTTGCCGTATTATACGTGTCTGTAGTTACTGGTTGAGAGGTGGGGTACACAACCCACCGTTGCGGACACAGCAACTTTGTTCTTACCTCAAGACTATCAAAGTTTCGATCGATAGACGTCTGTGATAAGCATACAGATGATTAATATGTGAGAGTGCGTTTGTACCTTTTTTCGCCAATATGTAATTTTAAACTGACCACAACTGCCGGTGTCTGCTGACTGGAAGAAGTCGGTTAGAAATATCCTTTTAAATATGTCTTGGTTCTGTAACTTTGAATTGCTAGTAGCTCTGCGACCATTGCGTTGAATTTAAACCAACGTGGCCGATATTCAAGCATTTCTATGCGACACTACAAAATTGAGATGGAAATGATAGTGAAGATGCAGCCTGGCTGAATCTCAGTAACTTTATTCTAAGGACCGCGGTCACAACTGTAGTGATCTATCGGTTGGACTGTTGTCTTCCGTTTATTACAATAGAGTGAATGCGTACTTGTAGTCAAACGAACTCAGACTTGATAAACCTAGATGTAAAAGCGCTTAGTCGTATTGGATTGATGGGTCCCGTACAAAATGGTGCTGTCAACAGCCGTCCATCATTTCCATCTCATACCAGCGAAATAATAAATCCAGGTTTCCGAATGTTTTGACTCAATTTATCTATTGAAATAAATACTGAGTATTTACTTGGTGCGTTAAATTTGTAAAAGTATAACAAAACTTTCATCAGCCACTTAGGTGCGTTTGAGTTTGCATTGATTTTTTAGCTAATAATTCCCTTGATCGATTCCGCAACATGCTTTTAAGATAGCGTTGGTTACAGACCATGCACTTCTTCAGTGTGCATAAATACTTACAAAAGACCCCTACTGAATGAAAAGTAGAAAACCTTACTGTTGAACTTTCATTGCAAAATTAGGAATTAGAAGACAGTATCAGACGGGCTAATGACACTTATTATAATTGTGAACAGTGATCTGTAAGTTCTCATTTTTTTAATGCATATTCAAAGTGGAATGACGTTTTTAACTGTCGACAATGTTTGTAAACTAATAGAATAAAAACCCGATGCCTGTAGATTAACATTGCCTCCCAATTGTGATTGCCTGATGACTGATCAACATTGCCTATTATTCTTAGGCTTATTTAATCTAAATGATTTGATTATTAGGCCGATGGCTAAATTGTTATGTATTTGTATAGAACAAATCTAAGAAAAACACGATGAGAATTGCTTTAATTTTTTGGCCCAAAACTAATCTGTGTTGATACGCACGTATCCGGACATAAAAAGTCATTCATTGACATTAAACAAAGCTGTGAGAAATTTCCAGTACTTTTCCTTAAATAACAAGAGCAGAACTGAAAAAAATGAAAATTAAAACGTAAGAAAATGCCGGTCGAACACTCCGCTGTGGTTGTCAAAGTTAACAATGATGTAAGCTCCTAAGGAATAGAGTACTTACTTTTTCATCTTATGGCGAATCGAACAAATATGCTGTTTTAACAAAAGTGATGAATAAAAAATAAACCCGGCAACTAGCTTCGTTAACCCTTTATTTAAGAATCTATCTCAATGCTATAAAAGGCCAATTGCCAAGTTATTTGTGTCAGAGAACCACTTGATCATCTTCTGTGATAAGGACATTTAGAAAGTTTGTTTCTAAAGTTTTATGACATATCCATTTTCTTAAGGTTAAAGCAAGGGAGGGCTTACCTAGGTATAAAAGCCAACTCTGTGAACGACCGGTTTTTTAATAGAAAACTCACATAGCTTCAAATGAATGAAGCTGTGTTGAGCAATGTATTACAGGAGATCACATTAACTTACGCTGGCACAGTAGATGTGCTTACTCATAAAATGTTGATCAAAATTATGGAAAACATTTTCGACTTAAAAAGTACTTAAGTATCGTTGAACTATTGTTCATCGTGCAGCATAATCTTATGATAATTCAAGCACTTCAGCTTTTTCGGCTTTTGAATAAATTTCGTTTTTGCCGCTTGCGAATACTACACTGTAAAAATGACGACTTAAGTGGTACGAATTAATCTCATTGATTTCTGATGCCCTTATAAATTCAAATATATTACTTAAAAACCATTCGTTCAAACATCCCATTTTTTATTTGTTCGGCAAACATGTACGCTCACCTTAAATTTTATACTCAAAAGACGTCTTTAGTTCGATTGTACAAGTGTAACTAATCGTAAGATTTTAAAGACCGCGAAATGCGCGTTCATAGAACATCGCGTCTCTGTATTTATTAATGCTGCTTTTCAAGTATACAAAATATTTGAAATCCTCTGCAAAATGTCTGAACACTATAAATTCTCCTTTGAACGTCTTATAGAAATGCATTATTTTACATACACAGAAAATGTACAGCCGGTGGTTACGAAACCCCGAGTGCAAATGCAACGGCAGGCGGGGTTTAAAATTACTCAAAAATAGGAGGAGTTTTCTTAAAGAGAATCACACTCTTTCTTCAAGTATAAAGTCAAAGAGAACGTACTTTCCACAAAATGAATAAAAGAATAAATATTTTTTATGCATTTTTCAATGAAATATATTTGAATTTATAAGGGAATCAGAAATCAATGAAAAAAATTCGCAACAGCAAAATAGTTATTTTTGGAGTGTAGTTTTTGCAGGCGGCCAAACAGAAGTTCATATAAAAGCCTACAAACTGCAATACCTGAATTACTATAAAATTATGCTGTACGTTGATTGATATTAAAACGTTACTTAAGTAATTTTTTCGAGCCAAAAAAAACGTATTTCTGAATTTTGATTAACATTTTGTGAGTTAACACATCTACTGTATTATTGTGCAAGCGCCTGCAGCGGGAAAAAGCTATAGGAAACAAATTAGCAAAATTCCCTCTTTTGTAGTTTGCAGGTTATATTTATTAAGTTTCTGAAGGTTTTCGTGAATTATTTTAAGCCTAAGTTTATAATCGCTTATTTAATGTACTTTACACAGCTGCTTGACACGATGCTATGACCGAGTATGGTAGTTACGATTTCTCTGCAAAATGTAACATCTATTTCTCTTCTGAACACCTCATTCGCACGCGTTTTCTATACCAAGACATATTTTAAGAGGCTATACTTTTGCAGGCATAATCAATTGGATATGCCATTATGAATGGATCATTAGTTGCATTCTTCTTATATTAACTGGTCCGGGTATAAATATGCATGTCACGTCTTGATAAACACGGTGTCATTTGATGAAAATATCGAAAAATCGCACCTTCGCACTGGAGTGCTTAGTGTACTAAAACTCCTATTTC